AAATAAAATCTTAAAAATAAATAAATAAATAAAAATAAAATAGAAAAGAGAGACGCCTGGGTGGCTCAGTCAGTTGAGCATCCCACTCTTGATTTTAGCTCAGGTCATTTTCTCAGAGATCAGCTCCACCTAGGGCTGCACACTGGCCATGGAACCTGCTTAGGATTCTCTTGCTCTGCCCCTCCCCTCCTCAAAAAAATGAAACAGAAAAGACCTTTAAAGATATCTTTTAAAAATACATAAAACGTTTTATGAAAGCTCCAAGCAGGGGTACCTGGGTGGCTCAGTCAGTTAAAAGTCTGCCTTCAGCTCGGGTCATGATCCCAGGGTCCTGGATTCGAGCCCCACATCAGGCTCAGTGGAGAGCCTACTTCTCCCTCTCCCTCTGCCCCCCACCCCATACACTTGCAAGCTCTCTCTCAAATAAATAAATAAATAAATCTTAAAAAAAAAAAAAAGGCAGCTCCAAGCATTATACCGCATCTGATTTTACACTCAGTCTAACTGATGGAACTAAACAGACTCATTCCTGTCTCCCTACCTTATTTCCTAAGTAATTTAGAAAATAACAAAAACAGGATCTAAATGGTAGACTTCATCTTTAAAATTGCAATTTATCACATTTTTTTAACTAAGAGGAAAAAAGCTACCATGTATCTTTTTTTTTTTTTAAGATTTATGGGGCACCTGGGTGGCTCAGTCGTTAAGCATCCAACTCTTGGGTTTTGGCTCAGGTCGTGATCTCAGGGTCCTGAGATGGAGTCCTGCAAAAGGTTATGCGTTCAGGGCAGAGTCGGCTTGGTACTCTAAAATAAATAGGTTTAGAGAGAGAGCACAAGTGGGAGGGACAGAAGGGCAGAGGGCAGGGAGAGAGAATCTCAAGCTGACTCAGCACTGAGCTCAGAGCCTGATGGGGGGCTGGATCTAAGGACCCTGAGATCATAACCTGAGCCAAAACCAAGAGTTCGACGCTTAATAGACTGCGCCACCCAGGTTCCTTTACCATGTATTTTATCTTAAGCAACAGCTGATTTACTGAGGCTTCTATGTAGTAACTAAAACAGAATGTAAAATCACTTGTCCGCATCTATTTTTTTTAAGAGAATAAAATACTACATATCAAAGCTGGGTTTGCATTTAAGTTGCCAGCTTAACTGCGGCAAATCGTTTACAATTATGACATACGGCTGTTTAAAGGTTAGTACTCTTTTTGCTAAAAATACTAGCCCGCAAAAACATTTACATAATACATACATAAAGAAAATGTATGAATTAAAGTCAATCCTTGAATTTAGCACATTTTAATCAGAGATTAAACTAATGCTCCATTTTAAATTTCAGGTCAAAGAAAAAGATTCACACATGTTATACACAAGGACAATTTTAATCCTCCATTATCCTGCAGTAACATCCACTGCTGGCTTTATATGGATTAAAACTGCATTTGCCAAGAACTGTGAACACTGAGAGTCTTTACATGAAGTCACATAGTTGATAGAGGCACAGACATCTTCCAGCACCAACAGGATACATACACAACACATACCAAATGATCTTGATGGGTAAATTTGCTTCATCAGATACTCCTATTCAGTAAAATCCAGTTAATGCAGAATTCTGTTTTCTTAATTTGCATCTTTATTACACATTTTTTCTAAGATTTTAATTATTTAAAAAACCACACATTCATTCAAGGTTGTAATTTGCATGGCAATAAACAATGGGTTCTAAATTTCTTAAAGGTGTCTATAGCAATTTAAAATACCCGGAGTCTTCTTTTCAATTTGTAGAGCCTGACTTAAGACCTTTATAAAAACAAAGTTTAAATTCGTTCAGTGCATTTGTTAAAATTCATTGTCACTGTTTCTGAGAAAGACTCATTTCAATTGCTATTTCCCAGACCATATTTATATTGAGTATCGGTGTGTATTCTTTTCAATTGGCTAGCAGAATGCTAGAACAAGAACTCAGCAGCATCTCTGAATGGCCTTCCACTCAAAACAACGGTGGTGATAACGTATAAAATGAATTTGAGGTCTGCTCCCCACTTAAAATCACCAAACAGGTTTCCAAAGTACTTTTGGAAAATATTTAAAAATATATGCATAATATTCTACCATATGGTGCACCATCATTCTTTAACCATTTCCCAATTGTTCATTTGTATCAGTTGTAATTTTTTTTGCATTTATGAGTAACATTGTGATGAACACCCTCACCCACAGTTTTAAGCAAGAATGATTCTATCTTTAGGATAATGTCAACTAAGTGGCTTACTGGGTCAGACTGCAGATGGTTTTAAGGCTTTAATATACTTTACCAAATAATCTCCAGAACAGTGTGAACAACTCCTACCAACATTAAGTTAATGTGACCTCGAAGTGGACTTGGTTGGTAACAGTGAAGCAAATTCAACCACAAATCTATTAGATGCCCAAGCATCTCAAAAGTATCACACCAAAGAAGCAAGGAGACAGTTATTAATGGTGATGAAGCCAAAATTCAAATTCTTTAAAATATTACTCAGCTTTAAATCATGATTTCATTAAATCATGATTTTAAGATAATAAACAAAAAAGCTCTGCACAAAAAATCTAATGTTTTTCCAAAAATAAAAAGTTAATAAGAGAAAGAGAAAAGTCAGTACCAAATGACCAAAAATTTTTATTTGACTAAATTCTATTTCATGCATAAGCATGACAGTCTCCCCTGTTTATTAGACTTTGGCAATAAAAAAAACAAGCAGCCTTATATAGAACAGTGAAAATGCCAAGGGTGAGGGTAATCTACAGTTTTACTGTAGGATAAATATATATATTTTTAAAAGGCCTCTCTCCCTTTGGCCATATCAACTCTCAGTTCAGATCATTAAATAGAGACAAGTTTTCAAAATCACTTCTTCACTTCTCCAAGATCTTCGATGCTATCATCATCCACCTATAAAACACAAATAATTACATCTCATGAATTGTGGTATCAGGTAACATGGAAGCAACTTGCTTTAAAAACTTGTATCCACAGGTACACATGTTCTACCTACTCACCTCTGGCCATTTTTCCTGAATGACATCAATTATGTCATCTGTAAAGTCTCCCTGAATGATGATTTCATCTTCTCCTGTTACTGAGGCACCACAGGAGAATTTTTGAGCAAAAAATCTTTGTGCTTCTTTAAGATCAATTTCTGTTATTTAAAAAAGAGAAAGAGCAAGACTATAATTGGAACTGTTTATCAAAGATATTTTTCCATTTTGAAATTTAATCTGTATCTTAATTTCATAAAACAGATTACCTTAATGGGTTTTATATTTCTTTCATGATAATTACAAACTACCACAGGCAGTGGTCTTAACCATTCAACTTATATTTTCAAGGTCAAATAAAGCTTCAGTACATAAAAATAGCATTATTCGGGGGGATGGGGTACCGGTAACGGGCATTAAGGAGGGTACATTATGTAATGAGCACTGGGTGTTATATGCAACTGATTAATCACTGAACTCTACCTCTGAAACTAATAATACACTATATGTTGATTAATTGAATTTAAGTAAAAATTTAAATAAATTTTTAAAAGATGCATCCTATCACAC